ACCGAAGAAACATAAGCCATGGTTCGATGAAGGATGCTCAAAATTACTAGACCAAAGAAAACAAGTCAAATTGCAATGGTTACAGGATCCAAGCAAAATTATGGGGATAATCTGAACAATATAAGGCACGAAACCAGCAGTCATTTCAGGAACCGTTTGCCTGCCCTACTTTGTTGAGCGACACTTTCCTCTCTAACCGCACTTCCCTCACCTTCACTCCCGCCTTTGTTGGTTGGTTAGTCACGCGTTGTTCGTCACTGCTCTCCTTCTTAGGTTGGGCGCCGGTAAGCTCAGCTGGTGTCGGCTTACAATAGTCGGAGGTTTATTTTGGAAAGGGGGTAAAGGTGAGAGTCAACTAGTTCAGCTGTGGGTAAAGCAGGGATCCTTCTCAGAGCGTTTGCTAGGGCCTCGCTTAGGACGAGGAGTGAAGCAGTTGGTTCAGTGCTACTTTGCACTTAAACACCGTGACCATTTCTTGAGATCAACACTTTCCTTCACCTGATGACACACACAGTCAGTACAAAGGATGCTTATATATAGGTCCTTATATAGCTCAGTCCTGGTATAATGGACGTTATTAGCACAATTTACACTTTAGGGCTCTGAATTTGGGGTTCTCGAGAACAGCGGAAACACCAGATTTTGTTTCTAAATTGTTCACGAGTAGCAGTCGACTCACTTGGCGACTGACTTATGACTGACTTTGCGACTGTTTGGCAACTGACTTGTGACTCTTTGTCTGCAGACACTGAGGTACCCTGGCCGTCAGTTCCTCTGCTAAGTAACTCCCCCCTTAATTCCACTGATTGGTTTTTGAAAACTAGAAGTTCACACAATTTCTGGATCTCCAATCAGCTAGCTGTAGTTTGGGACTTTGAACCTTAAAGCCGTAACATCGTTTTTGACAGTACGCTGACAGATAACCTGCTTGGCGTGGGTTTCAAAACCGCCTAATTTGAAATTACGACGTGCAGAACCTGTCAGTGATCGAATTCTCAAAGTTTGCCGCCATGTTACTCGCAAACAAAATTTCTCAGAAAAAGCCCCAGGGGGTGCTCCTGTGTAACACCGAGATTTGGAATAAGTTCATTCCTGAAAACAAGAATGTGACATGTCCCACTGGCTTGGGTATTACTTGTTACCTGCAATTAATTTTTATTACTGATCATTCTAATTATACTAGTGAGCGACAGTGGAGCGGTCAAACTCCCTAAACGAATATTGGTTCTGTCATGGTGCGGTTACATTTCAGGAACAAAAACAAGGAATATCTGAAATTGATGAGCTTACAATGAACAGTAAGAACAAGAACATTAGAGACCTCTATAGAGGAATAAATGACTTCAAGAAGGGTTATCAGCAAAGTAGTAACTTAGTGAAGGATGAGAATGGTGATCTACTTGCAGATTCCCACAACATTTTGAATAGGTGGAGGAACTACTACTCTCAGTTATTGAATGTACATAGGGTTATTGCTGTTAGGCAGGCAGAAATCCATACAGCTGAGCCGTTAGTGCTTGATCCTAGCCCTTTGAGATCGAAAGTGCTATTGCAAAATTGAAAATTTTTAAATTGCCAGGTAGTGATCACATTCCTACAGAACTTATTCAAGCAGGAGGTGAAATATTACGTTCTAGGAACCACAAGCTAATTACTTCTATTTGGCATGAGGAAAAATTGCCTGAGCAATGGAAGAAGTCTATTATTGTACCAGTTCACAGGAAGGGTAATAAAAACTGACTGCAGTAATTATCGGGGATGTCACTGCTATCAACTTCATACAAAATTTTATCCAATATTCTTCTCTCAAATTTAAGTCCATATATAGATGAAATTATTAGGGATCATCAGTGTTGGTTTCGACGTAACAGATCAACTACAGATCAGATCTTTTTTATTCGTCTGATAATGGGAAAAAATGGTAATACAATGAAACAGTACGTCAGCTATTTATAGACTTCAAGAAGGAGGTTATGAGGGAAGTATTTTACAATATTCTGATAGAGTTTGGGATACCCATGAATCTACCTAGGTTGATTAAAATGTGTTTAAACGAAACATATAGCAAAGTCTGTGTATGTAAACATTTGTCTGATAAATTTCCTATCGAAAATGGTCTACAACAAGGAGACGCTTTATCGCCACTCCTTTTCAACTTTGCTTTAGAATATGCCATTAGGAAGGCCCAGGGCAACCAGGTGGGACTGAAACTAAACGGGACACATCAGCTGTTGGCCTATGCTGATGATGTGAATCTACAGGTTGGTAATGTACGAGGGTTGGAACTTTAATAGTGGCAACACTGCTGTAGACACGCCATGCAGTGGAACCAAATAATGACGCTTATACCACACGTTAGTTACACACCTTCCTTACCTCAGAGGAAATGGACTATCCCTTCCCACATCACGCGCATGCGCAGTGACGAGAAGAACAGAGCCTCGTGTTAGCTGGCGGTCTAATGTAGTGTTGTCACAATGTTTTCGAAACAGGAACAACAGAGTTGGATAAAGATTGAATGTGTCAGAGGCCGTACAGCACGACAGTGTCATCAAGGTCTTCAAGAGGCTTGCGGGGAATCTGCATTGCCTTACAGAACAGTGGCAAGGTGGGTAAAAGCCTTCAACAAGGGACGCCAAAATGTGGCAGACATGCGTCGGCCAGGTCGTCCTAGCGTCAGTGAAGAAGAAGCAAATGCTCTTTCCGCATTACTGGAGAGTAATCGACGCCATACGATACGTGAGCTGGCCCGAGAGACAGGATTAGCGCATACGTCTGTGCTTCACATTCTGAAGGAACGCCTGGGCATGAGAAAAATTGCATTACGATGGGTTCCGAATGATTTGACGGAAATGCAGAAATGGCTACGATACGACGCTGCTCGTAATCACTTGGAGCGCTATGAGCGCGAAGGAGAGGCTTTCTTACGCCTATCATTACGCTGGATGAGACATGGGCCCAATCGTACGAGCCACAAATGACACGCCAGTCGAACGAATGACGTCATTACGGATCACCACGAAAATCAAAAGTTCGTCAGAACCCCAGCAATGTGAGGGTTATGGTGATTCTCGTGTACGGCTGTGATGTTATCCTAACGCATACCGTTCCCAGACAGCAGACCGTCAATGCGCAGTATTACTGTTCATTTTTGGAACACAACCTGCAACCAGCTTTGACAAAGAACCGGCGACACTTTCTGCAGAACCCGCCCATCATTTTTCAGGACAATGCTCGGCCGCATGCAGCGCAAGCTGTGGCTGATTTGTTCGATCGATGGGGCTGGGAAGTGCTGTACCATCCAACGTACTCCCCGGACTTAAGCCCTTGTGACTTCGACTTGATTCCTAGAATGAAGGAAATACTTCGTGGCATTCGCTTCAGAACTGTTCCAGAGATTCTTCAGGCAGTAGACCGCTCCATTCGAACTATCAACACAACAGGCGCTGCTAAAGGTATCCTATGACTTCCACATCGCTGGCAACGGGTTGTACACAATGCTGGTGATTGCATTGAAGGACAGTAAAACTTCGAAACACGCATCTATTTTGTATCAGTTGTAAATAAATAGTTGCTACTATTAAAGTTCCAACCCTCGCAGATACCATAAAGAAAAACACTCAGACTTTATCTGACGCAAGTAAAGAGATTGGTCTAGAAGTAAACACTGAGAAAACTCAGTATATGTTGCTGTCTCGTCACCAGAATTCAGGGCAAAATCATGATGTAAACATAGGAAACAGATATTTTGAAAATGTGANCCTAGGAATATAACTTTAGAATTTACAAAATAAAGATTTCATAACTGTTTTAAATGTGCTCCTTAAAGTAACTGATTGAGAAGGAAATTAAGAGGAAATTGAACTCGGGTAAAGCTTGCTACCATTCAGTCCAGAACCTTTTGTCTTATCGTCTGCTGTCCAAAAACATAAAAATTAGAATATACAAAACTATAATTTTGCCTGTGGTTCTGTATGGGTGTGAAAATTGGTCTCTGACATTAAGGGACGGACATAGACTGAGGGTGTTAGAGAACAGGGCGTTGAGGAGAATATTTGGATCGAAACGAGATGACGTGACAGGAGGTTGGAGAAAACTGCATAATGAGGAGCTTCATAACTTGTACTCTTCTCCAAATATCATTAGAATGATCAAGTCAAGGCGGATGATGTGGGCAGGGCATGTAGCATGAATGAGCGAGAAAAGAAATGCATATATGATATTGGTAGGAAAGGCAGAAGGAAAGAGACTACTACAAAGACCAAGTCATGGGTGAGTGGACAATAATAAAATGAAATTTAGAGAGATATGATGAGATGGTATGATTTAGGTTGATCTGGCTCAGGATAGGGACTAGTGGAGGGCTCTTGTGAACATGGTAATGAACCTTCGGGTTCCATAAAATGCTGGAAAATTCTTGAGTAGCTGCAGATTTGGCTTTTCAGTAAGGGCTCTTCTCCATAAATAATTATGTAAGTAAGTAAGTATGGAACCGTGAAAAGAAAATATATTACCTGCTAACCTAAGCGTTCTGTCGTTATAAACAGACAGTAGACCGGACGTTTCTATAGACAATGTGGTATGGTCTGCAGCTGTGTCTTGAATCTGTTAAGTGTATCAGTACATGGTGACTTTTTTTTATGATTCTGGTAATCACTTCTCTTAAGAACCGATATACGCCTGTGATTGGTTCAAAGATTGCGATGTTGTAGCACAATCCTGAGCTTTGCTGAGCTGTGTTGCGTGTGGTTGGCTGCTCGCATTCAGCTTTCCGTGGCATTAGCTACAGTAAACACGGTTATAATGGAGCACGAAGCTTTTGGACTTAGCGTTACGAAGTTCATTTTAGCTGAACGATGTTCGTAACAATGAGTATAGTGTGCAGTTGGATTGTTGGAATATTGGAGCTTTCCATGGCTTGGTATGAACACTGTTGTTTCAGGCTTTTTGTGAATTCTGGGAAGTACAAACGTTCAGGCCAGATGTTACATTTTTTTCAGCGGGATGCTCAGTTGAACTGGATGCTCACATTTGTGGCTGTGAGCGTCGCATGCAGTTGGCTGCTGGGTGCCCTCGGATTGTCCTTGGCATGGCTCTTACTTCTGTTAGCTCTGGTTGCTGCAGTTTGGAAAACCAATCTTGTGCGGCTGGTGGAGGCTGCTGTAAGCTATGAGACTCTTCGGGTTCGACGGAAACGTGCCCTTAGTCAGGACGAGACAGCTGAATGGTTCAACTTCCTCCTCAACCGATGGTAAGTAAACTAAGACCTCTGCTTTAACTTCTTTGTGTACCTTCTCTTCCGCCAGACTTCTGGCCATCATGAAACCAGCGTAAAGGAAATATCAAGGAGAGCTTTGCTTGCTATCTGCTTCACTCAGGTTTCCTACTTTGCTTATTCTTCCACCCTGAAGATTGAATCGATATGTTCTTCTGAAAATTTCGTTCACTTTGAACGGGTTACACGGCGTTATACCCAGATGATAGAACCCCTCAATAACCACTGAAGTTGGCAGGCATCATAACAGTCCGATCAAGTTTGATCCTCTTAACTCCCGAATACTAGTCTAGAGCTGCTGCGGATATGTTAACACTGTACTGTCTGTCCGAAACAAGTCTGCATACGCAACCTCATATGGCGTCCATATGGATTATCGTGTGTAGGTTGTACAAGTTAACGCCAACTTTCACGAAATCCATAACATTTATACTTCTAAATAATGTTGTTGATGATGATGATGATGAGGAGGAGATGATGATGAGGAGATGGTGGAGGAGGAGGAGGACGACGACTACAAATTTTCGAAGCTGTTTTATGTAGAGTTTCGCTTCAGTATGTCTAGTGTGATCCTATAAAGGTAAAGTTAACGTTGCATAGTTTTTGCAGGTACGAGCTATAAAACATTGTTATTCTTATTCCCTTGAGGTCATAACGGTGGTGGGCGAAAGCCCCTAAGCCAGAAAAATCGTAAGTTGAAAATGTCAGTGAACGTGATGCAACACTGAAGCGTTAATTAGTTGCAGTACTGTAAATATAGTCGTGTCGAGTCATGCAACGTAGTGTAAGTCAGTCACTTGTCAGTAGGTTGTTGAGAAAATACTGGCCAGGTTAGATCCCGAAATGAGGACAGACAAATCTGAAAAATTAGAGAATCGGCCGAAGGCTGTGTTCACCGGACGGTCCAGATACTGAGCAGTATTACTCAGTTGACGCCGAGGGTTGTACTACAGGGGGATTCATATAGAACCGGCCCGACGAAATGAGCTGTAATATAAAATATACCGTACAGATATTAAAGTAATTTACACATATCTTATCGTGGATTGTGTGCCGTGATCAGAGCAGGTGTTGAAAGTGTCCGCCGTTTTCAAGTAGGCACTAGAAACACTCGCTGTTCAACAGTGAACTCCATGACTGTCGCCTGCGCACTGCAGACACGCTTCGGTATTGTCCTTGACCTTGCGGTATAAGGGCTGCCACTTGCCGGATCATGCGCACACCATTCGACTCAGCACGGCCCACGGATTATTATGTCGTAATTGTGAGCGGTTATATGCATCACCTGCGGAATTGTTAGCAAATTCATTGGGCCGGTTCTATACGATTCATCCTGTAGTTGGATAGGCACATCTGTGGGTAATGTACAGCCGACATCCCGTTACCACGGGTGGAGCCGGGACCGTACTGTTCTTGACGATCTCTGCTAAGCTAAGTGGACTCACCAGTAAAGCAAGAACAGGAACTTCAGTGAGGCTACACAGCAAGAGGCTAGGAAACCTAGAATTATTGTATTTTGGATTAACATGTAAATAGTGTAGAATAATAATATTAATGACGATGTGTCTGAACTTACTCTGAACCCCCCGTCAGAAGAGATCACGGTAGCACCTTGTGGTAAAAAAAGTGAAGTTGTTCCTGTGCTTAATTGATTAAGCACTATGCCATGAAGGCGTATGGGGAGTGGATGTATGGATCCATATTTTATTGACCTCGGCACTAGCTGGAGGTGAGTGGTCAACTTCACGCCCCGGCCCCTTTACCCCCGGGGAAAAATCCGTATCCATTGGATAGGAGGTGGACCCCAGAGCCGGTCTGAACGATTTGGAGAAGTGAAAATTCTTGACCCTACCTAGACTCGAACTCCCACCCCTCGATCATCCAACCCGTAGCCAGTCGCTATCCCGGCTTCTAGGACCTTGTAGTGGGAGCAGTTAATATGAATATTCGCGTTTCGTATATCATCTCGAGTAGGTGTAAAATTCGAAGTTGCATTTTGTTACCATAAAATATCAATCTGATGTGGTTACAGAAGGCTGCTTGGTTCACAACTAACCGACCCTCTAACACAGGAAATTCTCTGTTATTGGAGAGTTTTAGTTATAATGTTTCTTGGGGTGGTGTGAGACTGAGTCCGCTTGGTACATCGGCCACTAACTGGCCTATTTTATCAGCCCCGGATGATAGATGATAATTGTGGAGCAGTCGATGGAATGAGAATTGAAAGGGGAAACCAAAGTACTCGGAGAAAATCTGCCTCTGCCACTTTGTCCACCACAAATGCCAACTGACCTGTCCTTGAACCCCTGCAGGTTCGCAGTTGTAACTTGAAATTTATTTAGATGTGCTGTACGTTTAACGAAGTACCATGTTTATGCGCAGTGCAATATCTTCACTGATGATCAACAGTGACAGTGGTTTCTCGGATTCAGTGTAGAATGTTACTCCCTGAGTTTTTCCAATTTCACAATATTGTTTCGTATTTGGGTGACTGAGACACCGGTTTGGATTGATAATTGGATTTATTAACAACCTGCAGGTCGTAACTACAAATAATTATTACACTCTTGCAGATTTACACAATTTACAATCACTCCACATTAATCTTCTCGGTCTAGTCTTCACTACCCGCTTGCTGGAAACGGAACTATAAAAGTCTCACTAAATTTCACACTCCCAAACCAACTGCACTATAGCACACACAAAGTCTTCACAGGTCGACGAACTTTTCGTAGCTGTCTCCTACCGAGGACTCAGAACTCATAAGTGAACTGTCAAAGTGAAAGTCACATTGCGACTGACGGTCGGTCAGTCTGTCTGTCTTGGTGTCGAGCCCCAGCTGGAGCTCATGACCAGGTATTTCTTCTTATATGAAAGTTACTGTTTTGTCCATTCGGTGCGTCCTCTTTGACGAGAGGTCGGATATGTCATTTGTCGGTCATAGCCTGTATTATTAAGTCCATTGTCGGTATTTACATATAATTACAAATTTATTCTTACTTCCTACTTCCATGTACAATGAACTGTAGTACCGTTTGTTTTTAAGGTAACTCCTTTGCACGAACTCCACGGAAAGCACGGTCTTCCACTGTTGAAACATGTTTACCGAACCATTGCATAGCAACTATCGCGGCGCGCACCCCATAGAAAACAGTCTCTCTATTGTGGAGATTTGTTTACCAAACATTTCTTTATCAACGCTCTGTCCGTCCACGTTACATTGCTCCGTCCGTAAGGCTGTTCGTCCCGAATAACCCATCGGCGCATCGCCACTCCTTCCTTCTGAGAGTTCTACTCATGACGTCACTTTCCTGTGGCTCTGTTCCTCCGCGGTGATCACTCTCCAACTGTTACAATATTTTTCAGAGAAAGGAAATTAAACTGATGTCACCATATATAAATAATTGAAGCCGCATCAGTAACAGAAGAAATGTTGAAAAGAAGAAACATGGACAGCGTACCCTTACCCACCTATGTTGGGGAAATGGCACACAGCGTAAGAACATAAAAGTAATAACTTCGAAGGAACTGAAATAATACCTGTAGCTACAGTTTAAATTTACAAATGAATAGGATGATACTGTGTGTTACAANTTAAAATTAAAAAAAAAAGGGGATAGTCCTGGGTTTCACACCCCCCCCCCCCCCATCAAGCCAGTAGAACATGTAACGCATTAAATGAATAGTACTGTCCTTCAAGCCTGCGTCTAATCTGATGTCAGAAGTGATCATCAAAGACGTCGCACTTGATGCACTAGCACCAAAATGGCACTTCCAGCTGTATCTGTAGATTACGATTACCCCTCGTGACGCCATTAACATAATTCGACCGCTACATACTAAATATGTACTAACTGAAAACTAACAAATTAAGAGCGAATACTCACTCACCCACCTACCCACTCACTCATGGAGCTGACCCCTTCATGAGGAGCCGCCAATTCTACAGCTACTCAATAATTTCCCAATATTTTATGGAACCCGAAGGTTCATTACCGTGTTCACAAGAGCCCTCCACTTGTCCCTATGCTGAGCCAGATCTATCCAGCCCATATCACCCCATTCTTTCTCTCTAAGATCCATTTTAAAGTTGTCCAGCCACCTACGTCCTGGTCTTCCTAGAGGTCTCTTTCCTTCTGGCTTTCTCATCAGTAAAGTATATACATTTCTATTCTCCCCCATTCGTGCTACTTGCCCTGGCTATCTCATCCTCCTTGACTCGATTATTCTAATTATACTTGGTGAACAGAACAAGTTACGAAGTTCCTCATTATGTAGTTTTCTCCAACCTCCTGTACTTCATCCCTCTTCGGTCCAAATATTCTCCTCAACACCCTCTTCTCAAACACCCTCAGTCTATGTTCCTCTCTTAATGTCAGAGACAAAGTTTCACACCCATACAGAACCACAGGCGAAATTATAGTTTTGTATATTCTAATTTTTATGTTCCTGGACAGCAGACGAGAAGACAAAAGGTTCTGGACTGAATGGTAGCAAGCATTACCCGAATTCAATCTTCTCTTTATTTCCTCCTGTATCAGGTTTCGATCTGTTATCGTCGTTCCCAAATATATGAACTGTGCCACATTTTCAAAATATCTGTTTCCTTTCTTTATGTCATGATTTTGCCCAGCATTTTGGTGATGACAAAGCAACATATACTTAGTTTTCTCTGTGTTTACTAGACAAACCTCCTTACTTGCATCAGTTAAGGTCTATATCTTTCTCTACAAGATGTTTCACGACTTTAGGGCTTAACTGCAGGAGGTGATTTCCTAGGTCTTTGTGATCGAAAAAGTTCGTATAAACATGTGTCCGATTTTGGACGGTGACGGAGTTATGACCGTTTCAAACTCAGAATAGAAGGTAACGATTACTGACAATAAAGGAAACAAAATAATAAACCAGCATAATACATGATGCATTTAAAGTATGTAAAGTTAACTTCGTGAAATTACCTTTAATTTGAATTGACT